TTGATCTGTCTGTCTGTCCGTGAAATCCTGGTCTGATCACCTACATTCCTTTCAGATGCTTAACTTGAACCGTGGAACCCACGCTCTAAAGACTCTTCCCTGGCCTGGGGGGGGGGAGGATTTCACCGTCTTGACTTAGTCACTGTCGTTGGTGCGTTGGTGATTGACATACTGCAGGTACCCAGCCTTGAACGATCTCGGCACGTCGATCCTCCTAGACGTTCGGCACCGCCACTTCGATCAACTCTCCGTCCCCGCAGATTCGATCACTGTTGATGAGCCTGAACCATTTACCCCACCTGAGTGGATTCACCTGTGTGTTTCCTGCCATTGACATCACAGAATTGAGGAAACTCTGGTATATATTATAACGCTAGATAAAGGTGTGTGAACACCTTGTAATAAGTTATCAGACCTTATCAGACCTTCACCGACCTTTATATAGCAATATCAGGATCCTCACAATTTCCTGATGGATGTCTTGGGTGATTCTAAGGTTCCCTGCTGTGTTGTCCAGGACCACGATCGGGGTAAACTCTCCCCAGGTGGTCGTACCTAGGCCGTATGGTACTTCATGCACATCTGCGCTAATTGGCCACGTGAAATTAATTAGGGCACCCATACCATCGTACATATGTAAGAGATGCGGTGAATCTCGCTTGACGTCAGTGCCCTCATGTATGTGAACAAATGGCGCAACGGAAAATACGCGGAGTTGCGTAATATCGGCCTTTTACTTCAGTGAACAGTTGATTCTAAGAACGAGCAGCATGGAATAAAGTGAGTGGTCGTGTGGTCTGCATGGAAAAGCTATTTTAGGCCTAATGTTAACGGTGTAGGATAAATAGTGGCAGGTCTTGCTTTTCAAAACATCCCACTGAACCTTCCTGAACATCCCCTCAACTCTCAAAATGCGCTTTTCTGTGGCATTCATCCTCACCGCGGTATCTCTGGCTTCTGCGACCGCCATCGGCAGACAATCAGTGCAAAATGTTCATCTCGCCGTGCAGCCCAAGTGCGGCAGTTTTTCAGGTGCTCCCGCTGATGTCAATGCTGGAATACGGTCATTAAGCAACTATAAAACGATTGTCGCATTTGGGGTAAGTCATCAACTCCAAGATTGGAGTTGCCCTGTTCTAAGAGCTCCCATTTACTAGGATGCGTGGACCGATGGTGGTGTACGAGACGGGTCACCTGTTAAGCCAGCCGTCATTACTCCCCCGAGTCCCAACGCCGGTGGTCGTATGTGCGATGGACCTGTCTGGGTCGAAAGCTTAGCCAAGAAGGCCGGTGCCACATTAAAGGACTATGCAGTAGGTGTAGTGAAAGAAAACGTTGAATACCTCCCTGCTCATCAGTAAATTAGGCCGCCGGGGCAGTAGTTGATTCTACACAATATCCTGGAAAGGTCTTCTCTGGTAATGACTTTTTTACGCAAAGTTTGTGCAACTATTGCTCTTTTTTGCCGCACCTGATTTGATGGTGACGCAGCCAATCTCTTTACCGGGCAGGGTGTCAGATATGACCCTGATACCACACTTTACACTGTTTTCTTTGGCATTGGGTGAGTATTTGGATTGCAAGAGTAGAATGTCTTTTCACTGAACTTTTGATTTTAGCGACTTTGATGCAGGCGGTGGTATGAGCTATTTTTCTCATTCAAAGGCTTTTCACTTGAATTTATTTGAACAGACCTTGATGTGGTTGCACAAAACATCGCGTTTCGTGTGCTTGCACTCACCTCCTCCCCAAATTTTGCACGTAACATTCTCATCGTCGACAATTATGGTCGGGGAAATCAGACTCGTGCTGGAGAAGCATTCAAAAAATCGGTCTTCTCTTCGCTACGATACCTCCGCGCGGGGGGAGTCAATGTCGCTTTTGTGGACTTGGCTAATGTTTGGAACGCTATCCTGGGCTCTTCCCCAGGCTACAAGGCGTTTGGATATACCAATGCGGGTGCTTGCACCGTTAGCAGCCAAACCACCATTGGCGCCTGTTCTGATCCTGAACACTCATTATACTGGATACCAGGGTGAGACAACTGAAAAAATACATCCCGAACCCTATACTAAAATATTTCAAACCAGACACCCATCTTCAGCCACGCATTCTATTATGGCAGACTACGTAGAACAAGTCTTATCTCAGTGTAAGAGCTCATAACTATTTCGACAGCCTCCGAATTAGTTACGGCATGGTCACTTTACGTTCTTTACTTACCTTTTCTAATTCTTTTATTTCTTGATCGATATGACACATGTACAGTATCGCATGATAAGTACACTCAGTAGTTCGCTGCTATGGTGTCGCTTGTTGCCTACCACGGAATGTCTTGAAAAAATGATAATAATAAAGATATCCTACTAATGTATCAATAACGACTATTCTTAGGGAGGTTTTTTATGCCCGCTCTAAGTAGAGGGTTTTTAACTAGCTGCATCGTTCTGAGAGGCATTCAGGTCATGTGCGCTTTCTCACGGCCTTCGCTTTATGTTGTTTGTGTTCTGTACTCTGACCAGGTTGCTCGATGTGAGGACATGATGATAACGATGGAAAATTTTTAGCAACTAGCGGGCATCGCGGCCAAAGGGCGTCCTACGGAGTATTATTTTAATTTAATTTTTAACTAATAGTATACTGGGCGCGTGGCGCGATGTCAGTCACGTGTGACACGACGCGTCGCCTTGATTAAATCTGATTATATGACCGCCTGGACTGTAAAACCCTGGAGCCACAAACATCAGAAATGACAGAAAAACGGCGAGAAATACCCCCCAACCCTGCTCGGTGGACACCAAACTCTGATCCGTCGTCCATACATGTCCCTGGACTCGATACCAGAGCGCCTGTTCTCGACCAAATTGAACAGATGGAACAACTGATCACTCTTAAACTCCAGGTCTGAATTCTTGTCGCTGCACTAATACTTTAATGAAACATTACATTTTATTTCTTAGAACATAGACGAGAACTTTTCTAAGATTCACCATCTCCTGGCGAACAAGGTACTACCGTCGTTGAAACGTTATGCAGTTGCGACAGAGCCTGTGAGAGAGGCAGCAAAGGTGTGTTACTTTTTGTTCGAGATATTCATCGTGACCAAATCTTGAAGTTTTGGACCTGCTTCTACGAACAAGCCGCCCAAATCCAAATACCAACATTCGACGATTATTCTACCGTCAACGAAGAGTCCGAACAACCAGAAACGGCCTCAGAAACTATCCACGATGAACAAATATCATCTACCGAGGTCTCTCAGTCTCATGTTTACGAACCTAGCATAATGTCGACCAACGATTCCTTCATGCCTGGTCATGCTGCGTTCTCTTCCACTCCAGCAACGGCACGCGTGACAAGAATAAATACAACAACAGATTCACAGGACGAGTCCTCGTGGGGCGCATCATTAGATTCCCCTCTTGTTCGAATGCAGCCCGATTTTCACCAACCCGCTATGGAGGATGAAAGCATTCAAGGAGACTCATCAGTGTCCCAGTTATTATCAACACGCTTGGATGAGCCGCCGAGCCTCAGGCAGGAATATACCAATCAGCCTCGTAGCGAAAAGAAAGTCAAAAACCCCAAGGAGCCCCTGCTACGCAATGTCCTACGCCACAACTTGTATCCAATCGAGGCGGGTACAAGCTCCGTAAACGTCTCTCCGTTAAAATACCGAGGAAAGCCCAAGACACCAGTTCCGAAAAAATACAACCCATTCCTTTCTCCCGACAAAGATCCCGGCAAATGGGACGGGGTCGTGGACTTGAGAGACCCTTCAATAATGACACCACAGCGCGCTCGAAGGGGAAATCCATCCTCACGTCGCGGTCTTGACAAACCTGCAAATAATTCTGAAGACGAAGATTCTTTTGATGGATTACCTCCGGGCATGTCTCCTCCGGTCATGATGTCACCCGCCCGTCCACCACGCTCCTCGGCGGAGCTAGGATTTTTGAAGTTGGGTCAGACACCAATGAAGGAAGCGTCTTCAAGGATCACGCGAGATTTGGTGAGGGACATTCAATACAAAAGCGGCAATGCGACCCGGGATACCCACATCTATAGCAGAGCCGAATCCACTCTTAGTACGATGCCCACCCCACCTTCATTTTCACGGTATCGCCGGCACGAAACGGACACAAATGATAGTATTGTTCTTGACTCAAGTCTGGAAAGTATGATGCGCAGAGTGGGGTTGAACATACCATCTAGTGCGGGTAGCTTAACACTGGGGATGGGATCCACTCCTGGGCTAAGACTGCGCTCACACACAACCTTGAAGGCGGTTGCAGTTGAGCCGCCGTGTGATACCCTTTTGACGCCCCCACACCATCCTAACGCCGACGATGAACCAACAACACCAATGCACGAGCAGATGGATATGGATTCAGATTCAGACTCCATGGACGAAATTAATACCACAGCCCATCCCTCTGCAGCATTCCTGATGGCCTCGTCCGCCCCTGGCCATCAAGATTCTGACGACTCCTTTGGTTCATCCAATCACTCTAACGATTCATTCAATGAAGAAGGCGGTAACGGCTTGATACAGGTTAATCCATTCATAGGAAGTCTCGAAGATGACGGTTTTGACGACACATACGATGATGATATGTATGATGGTGGTGACATTCCAGAGGAGACATTGTTTGGCGTGCCGCCAAGTCAGAGAATCCAATCGCAACAGCGTAGTCACGCCACAGATGGGTTACGAATGCTGGGGGAGGATTTACTTGAGGATACCATTGGAATTAGCGCCCAGAGGCGCCCAGAAGAGAGTCCAACACCGGCTGTATGGGGGAATGCAGTTCGAGATGATTAGTGATTAGTGACTGTTCCCCCCATATACATAATATTATTTTAGAACACTTGTGTTGAATTGGGACTTACATATCAAAACCTGATTGACTTGGGATGCACATGTAATTTGTAAACCGCATAGACATCGACGCCTATGCAGTTACTCGAGTAGACAGGAAGATGGGAAAAAAGACTCTCGACGCCAGCAGGATTTGAACCTGCGCCCTCAAAGAGGAACAGATAGTTCGAAGTTCGAATCTGTCGCCGTAACCACTTGGCTATAGCGCCCTTCCTTCTTGTTATTGCGCTGACTTTCTCTGACACTGTGCCTTGAGAAAAATAATCTAGTTTCATATGCATGAAAGATACATGGTGTATGATATGGAGAGGATGAATTGGTATAGGTTTCGAAACCATAGAGTATGATATGCAGGGTATAAGTGTTCAGTGGAATAATTCAAGAATCCAGAGTTTAGAGAAGCATCCATCAGATTCATGAGACACTGATAGCGCTTGCCCTATCTAGCAAGCCTTGGACACGCTTGCCCAACCGTTCGGCCTCCATCTTACGCTCCCATACTTGGTGGGCGGGAGTTTGTTTTTTAGGCATCCACACCTTTCCACCTTTGGCATCAGCACGTTTAGCGTTGAGAGCTGAGAGATCAACGACACGTGGTGAGGATGAGAACTTGATGACATCCCTATATAAAAGTTTCGTTTCAGCGGCGAGAGACCGCAAAGTTCGTGGAGGAGTTAGGGTATCCGAATCTGAGTCTTCTGAATCCGAAAAGCCCGAAGGATCGAGAGGTGGCGTTAACACCCGGTTGATTGGGCCTGGTAGGGGAGGCAAGCTCTCAATCTCTTTGAGCAGATCTTGACCCTTCAGGTAGGAGTTCTCTGTACGAAGGAATCGTACAGTTCCACGCAGTGCGTCAATCTGCAAAATCAAAGTATTCAAAGAGATTCCAGGCCACTGAAATATATCTTACTTGTTCTAGAAGATGCGATGTCTCAAGACTACCTTCGATAGCCACGGGCTCCACTTCGACATGTTGGGTACCTGGCGCTATATTCTTATCAGTGGCCATATATAATGATGATTACGATAGTTTTGTCACTGACCTTGTCGGTCCTGGCCGGCGGTCAGAGCCTTCAGTTTAGCGTTATCCTGTTCCAACGTGTCCAGGTCAGCTTGAAGCTGCTCCATCGCTTCCTCGTACGCGCGCTCCTGTCTTCTAGCCTTCGAAAGCTCACTCTCCAGTTCCATAATGGTATCTGCCTGCTTCTTGACAGTCTCCATACGCCTCTCCATAAGCTCGATCTTCACCGCAGACTCCTGGATATTTTGATCTTTGGTCTTCAAGCTTCGCACAAGCCCTTGTATCTCATCATTCAGTTGAGCCACTTTGCGCTCAGCTTCCACATTGACAGCTAAGCTGGCTTTGATTTCGCTGACCCTCGCGATCCAGGGAGCGGTACCAGAGACTATGAATCAGGTCAGTAAATATTGCTACTACGTCTAGGAATGGACACTAACCTTTGAGAACATTGTCTGACTCTAGGGCAAGAGGTAACAACTTGGCACCTTCTTGTAACATGACTGCGATCGAAGCTTTGATCGCATCCCAAACCGACTCCCCTGGTTTGATATCTTTCGCAACGGTGGCGGTCGCGATCTGCTTCACCAATGCGAGCAAAACCGTTAACTGGAAGGAAGACTTGGCACTGCGCGCATCACTCAAGTGGGGCATGATTTGTTGAGCAAGCTGATGAGCAAAATAAGATAAGAGCAAGGGGAAGAAGATGACAAACATGCCGAGATACCAAAGTTCACCAGTTCGCCGGCAAGATTGCTCAAAGATTTCATCTGTGGAATCAAATTTGCCTTGAGCGCAGTGGAATCGTCGATAAGCTCGTCCAATCGTTTCGCCAATTTCCTTCAACTATGGTTATTCTGTGTACATTGGGCAATACACATATCACAACGCACCTCGAGACAGATTTCGCACTCTTGGTGTTGTCCAACAGGGCTTGTAAAGGTTCAAAAAATTCAGTCTCAATATTGTAACCACCCATATCGAAAGCAACCTCTGCAGCATGTTTTAGGAACAGAATTCAAGAAAGTTATACTTGCTTGCCTTCTTCTTTGAGGAGATTCTGCACAGAAGTTTTGGCCAATCCAATCGATGCCGAGAACATGTCAAGATCATGATCAAATGAAAGCACATAGCCCAATTCCCGTTCTCCCAGGTCAGTTTCAAAGCCGTTGAAATAGGTCTCTGCGAGATGCTCAAATTGCAAATGTATCCTGTCGAAGAGATTGGTTAGTAAATCCAACAATATTCGATGATTACTGACTTGATAATATCGCTGACACATTCCATCTCCCTGAACTCATCCCGCCGGAGCAAATTAATGTGCATATCGATGCGTTTTTCCATGGGCGCAATCTCTGGGTAAATCCTCCCAATGCTTAAGAAGGAATCTACATCGCACCGACGCAAGATTGCAGCGAAGCGTTTGCAGAGAGTGGACAAGCCTGATATACGTGTCCTCAGCTGTAAAACTCGATTAGAAGACTACCTCTCTGATGACTCCCCCTTACCTCACAAACGCCAACGAGAACCTCAGAGACAGATCCATTAAGGGAATCCGGCAAACCATGTGTTTGAGCTACGACAGTGTTGATAACATCAGCCTTGTAAGCGAGACGCTGGAAGAAAAGATAGCAATTGGTAGCATCCGTGTCCGAGTCGACGTAAAGCTCAGGCAAGTAGGGCTAAAAAGATGTCAGAGAAAGGCTTTCTAAATTTCCCGAATAGATTCTACGCCACCTGAACAATACTAAGAAGCTCCCTCGTTTCGCGTGCCTCCAAGCTTCGAATTTCAAGATCAATATTCTTCGCCTGGTTCTTGGATGCTGATGATTGGAGCTTCAGGTTGAGCGACATCATGGCCGCGGTTTGCGACGCTGCCGTTGCGGACTCATTCTGTGCTGTCTGCGTCTGTGCACGCAGATCATCCAGTTCCCTATAAATGCCCTAAGCCCATGTTGAAATAGGAGAGCTTGGATATTCACCGTTGCAATTGGAAGACTAGTTCCCTAAATTGGCCGATAGTATTTTCCAGATCTTTGCACACTTCGTCCATATCCTCAATCTTCTGTATCTGTTCACGAATCTGCATATCCCTCTGATCTGTATACTATTTAAGAAAGATAAACTTTGGTTTCGAGAGGACGGCTTACTGATATCTTCATTCAGCTGCTTCTCAGTTTCCATATGGTTTTCTTCAAGTTCGTCATTGAGTTCTTTCAGAGCCTCTAGATCCTCGATGGTAATGCGCATCTCCTCGATTTTCTAAATATCTGACATGAGATTTTTTAATTTAAAAAGCAAACAAATTTCGATTCACCTCTCCAAGCATAAGATTACGCTCGGTCAGTTGCACAAGCATCTCCTCGGCACCAAGGGCATCATCAAGCTGTAATTTCAAGTCTTCGATCTGGACCTCTGCATTTGCTAGCTTGATGAGAGTAGATTCATACTGGGCTACGAGGCAATCATGAAAAAAACAGCGAGAGAAAAAATGATACGACACATACATTGGAGGTCGTCGATTCCAACGAGATCTTTTTCCATTTCCGCAATCCGCCTTCGCTGATCTTGTTCTGTTTCTTGTGTCATATCCCGCAGTCTGTTCGTTTATATTGACTCCAGTTCACATCAGTTGAAGTCATATGGAACGCACTTGATAAGGGCTTCCTTGAGCCGTTCGTTCTGTTTCTCTAGCTGAATGTAAGCCAGTGAATCTTTTCCAGATGAACCTCCGTCGCCACTACCTGTGAGGCCAAGTGAATAGAGAACTTTCGACGACGATAGGTTTACCCACCTCCACCTTCTCTGAGCACATTGATCTCGACCTCAATGACCGCTAGCTTCTCTTTCACTTCCTCTAATTCAGCCTCAACAATCTCCGCACGTTCTTCGGCCACTTCCTTGTCCAACATGGACATTTCAAGTTGCTCTTGCGAGTCGAGCAAACGTGCCTCGGCCAACTGGGATAATTGTTGTACATCAGCAAGTTCACGTTTTGCCGCAGCAAGCTCTGTCTGCTGTGACATAAGCTTCGCCTGGAGCTTGGGTCTTAGCGCAACAAATGATTCCGCTTCCGAAAGACGTGTCTCGAGCTCTTGAACGTGGCGCGCATCGTCCGCACGCTTGGCTTCGAGAACACGTATTTTAGCGCGCAGTTCTTGCAATTCCTGGTCATCTTGCACGCGTTCTTGGACCTTCTGCGAATTTTTCTTTCAATGATGGCAAAAGTATCATGTATGCAATACATACTATAGGATTTCTTAGAGACGAGGGAGGTCGGGACGGGGGTCTTGGTGGTGGAGGCTCAGAAGGCGTGACTTGCACCGCTATAGGCTGGACGCGCGGCACGGGCTGTTGTCTAGGCGGCGAGGCACTGACTGGTGGTACTGAAAGAGGGGATGAGACACGCTTGGGTGGTCGGCCATTGGGAGAACCCGGTATCCGCGGTGGGGAGCTCGAGATAGGCGAGTTGAACGAGTCATCGCCAGGTGATTGGGAGATGGGGAAGGACTTCCTAGGTTGGAGCGAAAGGGAGTTGCGCTTCGCCGGTGAACCAGTAGACTTTGGTATGCGCACGGAAGATGCGGATGAGGATGAAGAGACGACTGGTTTTGCAGGACTCGCTGATCGAGGAGAAGCAGTATTGGATGAAGGGGGAGTGCGTAGAGAGTTCGCCCGTAAAAGACCAGAACTGGGTGTCCGTTGGTGACCAAGACCTGGGCGAACTGCTGATGCCGCACGCTGGGTAATAAACCATGAATCAGAAGAGGCAACGAGATGAATAGAAAAGCGTACGGTCTCGATCTCGGACCCATGGGTGCTCTTGATCTGGCTGGCGCGAATGAAGATACCATAGCCCATCTTACAACTGAAATACTGCACACCCTGAACAGATCCATCGTTTTTTCCATTTTGCTCATAGAGTTCGATTCCAACCCATTTGCCTTTGGAGAATGCGGTCGCACCAGAGAAGCGAACCACGCCTTTACCTTGACCAGTCGTGACAATAGTGCCTAGTGCTGGGCCGTCCGCGTTATCCATAGCAAGCGTTAGAGATGGGCGTAATTGCTAGATTGATAACGGCAGAAACGAGTCCAGCGCGTGTGCTGAGGCGCCTGAGCGCAGAGAGCGTGTGTTCTGGCAATCTCAGAATTTGGTGACTTAGGACTTGACTGGTGCGAAATGTGCGAA